ATGCAGTCAATTTTTGATGAAACATGGCATGCATATTGTAAAAACCACACAACATCTTAGTTTTAGGACTAGAAAAGAAAACTGTGATCTAGAATGAAGCAGGGAATTTCAGGTATGCAGATTATACCCCCATTGGCATTTGGCCAGGTTGTTGAAGTTAAATTAATATATTTGCCCTCCTCAGGAGTGTTGTGATATTTTTCACTACTTCATGTTTCAAGAGTTTCCTTTTCAACACTTCCTTCCTGGCTTTTCACAGGGCCTCTCAAACATTTATCTGGCCATAATACAAAAACCAATCTTTTTTGCCCAAAATGGAATCAGGAATACAGCCCACATGGGGCAGATCAGGATATGCCTAGGTCTCAGCACGCTGTTGCTACAATTTTAATTCAGTAGTTGTTAAAGAAAAAGCAACCAGAATACAGACAACTATCAAAATATCAATGAGACGTGAGAGTGTGTGTGCGCACTCATGCGGGCACCCCTAAAAGAAATATTGTAATCATTATATAAAAGATAGGTCAAAGTTTAAAACAAGCTTCTTAATTATGCAAGCAAAATTCTCAGTGGTATCTCTTTATAAGCCATTGAATGCACAAAACAGATGCACTTGCAAAATTTGCAGAGGGGATTTAAGGAGACCACTAGAAAACATGCTCCGAAATAAATTAAACTAGTTCCTGGAATCATAAAAAGCACAAAATAATTGGCAGTTTTTTAACGATAAGGTTAATCCATAAGCCATCAAAGTAAAGTATTGCCAGTGCTCAGAGAGCTTCTCTGCAGAATGATTCCATTTTTCCTGCCTTTTTTGATTACTGATTTTTCCTTTGATACACATCTGTTCAGAACAATGGTTAACTAATAATGTTTATTTTATCAAAATATCAGCACAAGAAAATTTACCTACGATTCCAACATCTAACACAATTGAATTGACTTCAGATAAGACTACATCCTTTTATAATCTCATAGGTTTAGAACAGACATATTTAATCAATGATGCTTCATGCATTCTTGGCATTTAAAGCCAAGAACACAGTACCATTAAATCTTTTAATTGAATCTAGTATATAGTACAAGCCATTACATTTCTTTCTGTTATTCCTTTATTGACTCCAATAACTTGTGTTCGGTTAAACCTTATTATCCAGAAAAACATCGAGTTTTGCGGTGAAGACATCAATAGATGGTTCCCTTGGTAGTTTGTTCCAATGATTAATCAACCTGTTTTAAAATGTGTGCCTTATTTCTCATTTGAATTTTGTCTAGCTTAAGTTTCCAGACTTTGGTTCTCCTTATTCTTTTCCCTGCTAGATTAAAGAACCCTCTTATACCTAGCATTTGATTCCTGTGAAGGTTTTTATATGCTATAATCAAGTCACCACACAGCCTTCTTTTCAATAGAATCTTTAAGTCTCTTAGTTTAAGCATTTTCTCCAATCCTTGGACCATTTCTGTGGCTTCGTAATGCATATTTTTCTCAATATCCTTTTCACAATAAGGGCACCAGAACTATATGCCATTCCAGTATTGGCCTCACCAAAGCTGTATGAAGAAGTAAAATCACTTCCCTAGTTACTACTCCCCTGTTTATACATCCAAGAGTCACATTAGCCCTTTATAGTATGACATTGTACTCGGAGATCATGCAGAAATGCTTGACCACTATTACCTATAAATCCTTTTACAGAGGCGTAGCCATGTTAGTTTGTTTCAGCAAAAGCAATGAGGAGTCCTGTGGCACCTTAAAGACTACCAACTTCATTAAGACACAAGATTTTGTAGGCTGGAACACACTTTTGTAGTGTAGACGTAGCCTGCAGATGTGTAACTTTTTTTCATTTGTTTATATACAAATGCATTTTATCTGCATGGACCCAGTTTATCATGTGATCCAAGTAGCTTACTATGAATGCTGTGACCCCAGTTGGTGGATACCTGCAGCTCATTTTTGCAGATACAGATGTGGAAGCAGTTACAAATTTTATATCTAGAACCCTGCAAATGTGTGGCTATCTTCTTTATATCCGCATCTACAAGTGTGAATACAAATAGCCACAGCTCATTTTTGCAGCTACAGATGTGGCTGTGTCTACACTGGGCCACTTATTCCAGAAAATCAGCCGCTTTTCCGGAATAAGATGCGAGCTGTCTACACTGGCCCTTGAATTTCCGGAAAAGCAATGATGCTCTACTGTACAAAATCAGCCGCTATTCCGGAAAAACTATTCTGCTCCCGCTCGGGCATAAGTCCTTATTCCGGAACACTGTTCCGGAAAAGGGCCAGTGTAGACAGCCCAGTAGTCTTTTCCGGAAAAAAGCCCAGATGGCAAAAATGGCAATCGGGGCTCTTTTCCGGAAAAGTGCATCTACATTGGCCACAGACGCTTTTCCAGAAAAGGGGCTTTTCCGGAAAAGCAGCCTGCCAATGTAGACGCTCCTTTTCCAGAAAAACTGAAAACAGAATAGTATTCTGTTTTAAGCATTTCCGGAAATTCATGCCAGTGTAGACACAGCCATTTTGTATGCACTCAGGGCTCACCCTTAATTATGTAAATCTGTGTGTTATCCACAAATTGTATTAGCTGTGATAATATATTTACTTTCAGATCATTCATGAAAATGTTGAATAGTCTCAGTCCTCATATTGATCCATGTGCAACCCTGTGATACACACACTATTTGATAATGATGCCCCATTGACAACTAATGTTTTAGTTCAGTCATTCAACTACTTAACACATGCTTTATCGATATTCTGAAGTGCTAATTTTTAATCAAAATGTTGCGTATTACTAAGTCAAATGCCTTATAGCAGTCTAGGGGCTTATCTATACATGACAGTTAACACTGGAAGAAGGTAAGGTGTGTATTTAAATCAATTAACTATACCTGACTATTTTAAGTGCTGGATGCTTTTATACTGGAATAAGAATACCTTATTTCAATTTAGTTTAACCCGTGTATTCTGAAATTAAAAGCACCCACATATAGAGGTGATCAGGAATAGCTTTTTCTACATTAACCAAACTTGTAGTTTCAGCGGCGAATGAAAGCAGCTGTGACTTTGTTCTGTACTGCAGCCTCTTTCTCTGTTTTGTGATGCTTTGCTGTGAAATCAGTTCTGCTGTTACCGAGCAGAGAAAAATCTTTTCCGCAGAGGAACCCCAAAGTCAACTCTCTGAGTAGATACGTGATGAATTAGTGCAGCAAGTATCAGCGGGAAGGGCAGAATTATATCACTAAGTGACCAAGAGGAAAATGTCAGGGGACATCAGAAAATTTTGACACAATGACTCCACCTAGCATAGTGCATTATCCTGCTCTTTCAAAGAGATGTACAGATGTTATGCCATTTGATCCTGTTAATATCAAAAACAGTTGCTAAGCTACAAAACCTGTGTACCATGTTGCATGTTGAGTGGTTAGACTTTACTTATTGCTTTGTGGCTCAGATTGAACAATTTGCAAGGTAATCCAATGAGCTAACACAACCTGGATGGTGCAGCTTAAACTTAGTCACAAACTAACAAGCACATGGGCTGTAGGAGAGGACTATGAGGCTCAAGGGTTGTTTGTAGAATGCAGAGCCTTTTACGGCTAGCGCCCCGATTAATATATTGCCTACATATCACTAATATCAGGGAGCAGATGAGGAAGCATCTTTACTCGTATTCTAAACAATAAATCATGGACTGTTTTTTAGACTTTTTTGATACCTAAAATTCCTGCTAGTGTAGTTATAGTGGTTAGGAGTTTGACTGGTGTATAAACAGTTATATTTGCTATGATGTATTATTTTGGTAGAGGGAAATGGCATAAGCCATACCAGCAAGAGAATACTTTTGCTATCACACCTCAGACACATTCACTCAGGAACGAACCCTTGCAATAAACCAACGTTTCCCACACATACAAGAGACACTATCACAGGACCTACCCATATAAACCACAACATCAGAGGCTTATGCAACTGCAATTCCATTAATCTAATGTGATATATGACATCAAGTGATATGACATGCTCCTCTACCATGTATAGTGGCCATACTACACCATCTCTATAACAAGGGATTAATAGACAAAAGACAGATATCAGGAGTGGTAACACACAGAAACCTATAGGGGAACATTTTAACCTGCTTGGGCATTTACTAATGGACATTAAAGTAGCAATTCTTCTACAAAGGAATTTCAAAAGTCAACTACAGAGAGTGAGCAAGTGGAATTGACCTTGATATGCATTGACCCGTGTCCCTTGGCTGGAACAAAGACTTGAACTGGATGGCCCATTATAAAACCAGTGTTCTTTACATTCAACTCCCCATTGACATAACACTTCCATCCCACTAAATTAGCCTCATTAGCACTGACACTACAACTGACAGATTCTTTTCCCCTCTCCCTTCTTTTTCTGTTATATAGTCTGAGGGTCACCCCTTTTTTCACCACTCAAGCTCATCTGAAGAAGTGGGTTTTGCCCACAGAAGTACTACAGGACTACTTGTTTTCTTCGCTAGCTCTTTCAAAAATAGCTGAAGCCTACAGTTTGTTGTCGCTAACACTCCACTGTGAGTTAGAGCATCAACAATTGAACAGGAAGTGGTGGGCTGTACTTCGATAAAATTTCAGTAACCTGAAAAATGGGTGTACTTCTATTCTCATCCATCCAGTTTATATTAATCTTTTTTATACATTTTCAGGAGAAATTAGCAAATCAGTAGTCCAGCAGTTAAATTCCTCTATGCAACCAATTATTACAACAGAAACCCCTAAGATTTCCATGTGCTTTGGCCATGCAGCTCCCACTGATTTCCATTAGATGTGAATGTACGTGGTATAGCTAAATCCTGCACATCTCTGGAAACGTAAGGGAAAGCACTATGATCCTAAATGTTACAAATGCTTTTGTATGCACACATTATTAACTTTAATACTTTAACACCAAACAGAACTGGAAGAAGGCTGCACTAACACAATCCTTTTATTACTTTTCAGTTCCCGCTGATTCAAACAGTGAAAAAAACAACACCCCAATTGTCTCAGGTAAGCACTCTACACTGCCTGTGTCCCCTAATTCTTGTCACTCTTGAGGCTTAAATACTGCTACTGATTGCTTTTCTAATCAAGGGCACTGCAACCCTTCTGCTCCCACCCTGACATAAACCCTACATTGCATGTGGAGGAGTAACTGGCTACAATGTGGCTCATCCTGAGACCGGTTCAGTTCAATATCTTCATCAATGATTTAGATATTGGAATAGAAAGTATCAATAATAAGTTTGCAGATGATACCGAGTTATGTGGGGTTGCAAGTGCTTTGGAGGATAGAGTCATAATTCAAAATGATCTGGACAAACTGGAGAAATGGTCTGAGCTAAATAGGATGAAGTTTAATGAGGACAAATGCAAATTACTCCACTTAGGAAGGAACACACATACAGAATGGGAACTGACTGTCTAGGAAGAAGTACTGCAGCAAGGAATCTAGGACTCACTACAGAGAGTGAGCGAGTGGAATTGACCTTTATATGTAGGGCTCGACAAATACACTCACCTGTGGGGAGTAGATTTTTAGCAGCTGGCGAGTGTAGGGGCAGACTAGTCCTGTGGGCCATTATGACGGGCTGGCTGAAGCCCGCACACTTGCGTTCGCTCCGGCGTGAGGAGGCGGGGTGGGATGCCAGGACACCAGCAGGACGTGGCCCCACTAATTTTAAAGGGCCGCAGCAGCTCGGCTCTGGCCACATGTCCCCAGGAGTTGGCTGCAGTGCAGCCAGGCCCCGCTCTGCCCTGCCCCACCGGCTCCAGTCCTGCCACAGCCCGAGCCCTCTCACTGGTGAGAGACCGCTCTCTTCCAGCCGCCCAGCTCACTGCGCCTGCCCCGCGCCCCTTTATCTCCGCGCTGCCCATTCTCCACGCCGCCCCTGCTCCCCTGCACCTCGAACCCCTTGCTCTCCCTCTTACCTGTGACTCTCTGGCTCTGCACCACCCTTACACCCCACACCCTGCTCCCCACAATGCCTGCCCCCCCAGCTCTGTGCTGCCCATTCTCTGCACTGCTCCTAGACCCCGATCCCTCTGCCCCTCCCATTCCCTGTGTCCCAGTCCCCGTGCCTCCACCGAGCCCCGCACCCTTCTCTCCCTGATCCCTGTGTCCCTCTGTGCCTCCCATTCCCTGTGCCACCCTGTACACCTCCACTGTTCCCTGCACCCCTCTGGCTCTGTGCTGTCCCTGCATCCCCTTGGGTTGGGAGTGAGGGGTGCTCTTCCATAGGGTGGTGAGGGGGTGGGTATGAGGGAAAAGAAGGCAAAGGGGGCAAGGACAGTGAGGGAAGGGTGAGGTGCCAGGAGAGTTCAGGCGCCAGGGGATTCTGGAGCTGAAGCAGAAGGGCAGACACTTGCAGGGGAGGGACCAGCACCAGAGGAGAAGGGCAGGGAAGGTGTGTAGAGGGAGGTGTTAGGAGAGGGGATGAGGAGGGGGAGTTCACATGTGCAGAGTGGGGCTACTGGAGGAGTGGGCACAGGGAGAAGAGAAATGCTGATGGAGGGGGGCAGGTCTCCGGAAGGCTGAGGGCAGTGAGAAGGGCAGGAGTCAGGACAGCAGAGGAGGGTGAGGAGTAGGGGGGCAGCAGGCACCAGGGGAGATGATGGAGCAAGGGGAGGAAACATGGCAGCAGAGGGAAAAGGTAGAGGTTTATAAGATATCTATGAATAACTTGGGTGATATTTATTAATAACTTATTAGTAATTACTGTTTTTATTCTTATTAGGAAGTTATCCCATTAAAAAACACTTTTTTGGGGGGCGAGTCCCTTTTTTGTCTAGCGAGTAGGGTTTTCCATAATTTGTAGAGCCCTGTTGATATGCATTGACCTGTTTCCCGTCACCCGAATAAAGACTTGAACTGTATGTCCCATTATAAAACCAGCGTTCTTAACATTCAACCCCCACATTCACATAACACTTCCAGCCCACTCAATTAGACTCATTAGCACTGACACTACAACTGACAGGTACTTTTCCCCTCTCCCTTCTTTTTCTCTTATATATTCTGAGGGTGTCCCCTTTTTTCTCCACTCAAGTTCATCTGAAGACGTGGTTTTTACCCACAGAAGTGCTACAGGACTACTTGTTGTCTTCGCTAGCTCTTTCAAACATAGCTGAAGTCTACAGTTTATTGTCACTAACACTCCACTGTGAGTTAGAGCATCAACAATTGAACAGGAAGTGGTGGGCTGTACTTCGATAAAATTTCAGTAACCTGAAAAATGTGGGTACTTCTGTTCTCATCCATCCAGTTTATATTAATCTCTTTTAGGCGGCGTGGCCCCATCCGATCCGCCAGCCGGTGGAGGAGCAGAGCGCTGCTGGGAAGGGGGAAGTGCGGCGATTCTTGCCACCGGGGTGCTTGCGTTCGCTCCGGCGTGAGGAGGCAGGGTGGGATGCCAGGACACCAGCAGGACGTGGCCCCACTCACTATGATCCTAAATATTAGAAATGCTTTTGTATGCACACATTATGAACTTTAATACTTTAGCACCAAACAGAGCTGGAAGAAGGCTGCACTAACACAATCCTTTTATTACTTTTCAGTTCCCACTGATTCAAGCACTACCCCAATTGTCTCAGGTAAGCACTCTACACTGCCTGTGTCCCCTAATTCTTGTCACGCTTGAGGCTTAAATGCTGCTACTGATTGCTTTTCTAATCAAGTGCATTCCAACCCTTCTGCTCCCACCCTGACATGCGCCCTACACTGCATGAGGAGAGTAACTGGCTACAATGTGTCTCATCCTGGGACTGGTTCAGTTCAATATCTTCATCAATGATTTAGATATTGGGATAAAAAGTATCACTATTAAGTTTGCAGATGATACCGAGTTGTGTGGGGTTGCAAGTGCTTTGGAGGATAGGGCCATAATTCAAAATGATCTGGACAAACTGGAGAAATGGTCTGAGCTAAATAGGATGAAATTTAATGAAGACAAATGCAAAGTACTCCACTTATGAAGGAACAACCAGTTTCACACATACAGAATGGGAACTGACTGTCTAGGAAGAAGTACGGCAGCAAGAGATCTAGGGCTCATAGCGGAACACAAGCTAAAGATGAGTCAACAGTGTGACGCTCTTGTAAAAAAAAGCAAACATGATTCTAGAGTCCAGTAACAGGAGTGATATAAGACATGAAGTGCCAGCAATGCTCCTCTGCCATGTATAATGGCCATACTAGACCATTTCTATGATAAAGGATTAATGGACACAAGTCAGATATCTGGAATGGTAACACACAGAAACCTATAGGGGAACATTTTAACCTGCCTGGGCATTTACTAGTGGACTTTAAAGTAGCCATTCTTCTACAAAGGAATTTCAAAAGTCAACTTCAGAGAGTGAGCGAGTGGAATTGACCTTCATATGGATCGTCCTGTTTCCCTTGGCCTGAACAATGACTTGAACTGGATGGGCCATTATAAAACCAGCGTTCTTTACATTCAACCCCCCATTGACATAACACTTCCATCCCACTCAATTAGCCTCTTAGCACTGACACTACAACTGACAGATTCTTTTCCCCTCTCCCTTCTTTTTCTGTTATATAGTCTGAGGGTCTTCCCTTTTTTCTCCACTCAAGCTCATCTGAAGAAGTGGGTTTTGCCCACAAAAGTACTACAGGACTACCTGTTGTCTCTGCTAGCTCTTTCAAACGTAGCTGAAGACTACAGTTTGTTGTCACTAAGACTCCACTGTGAGTTGAAGCATCACCAATTGAACAGGAAGTGGAGGGCTGTAATTAGATAAAATTTCAGTAACTTGAAAAATGGGTGTACTTCTATTCTCATCCATCCAGTTTATATTAATCTTTTTTATACATTTTCAGGAGAAATTAGCAAATCAGTAGTCCAGCAGTTAAATTCCTCTATGCTACCAAGTATTACAACAGAAACCCCTAAGATTTCCATGTGCTTTAGCTATGCAGCTCCCACTGATTTCCATTAGATGTGAATATAAGTGGTATAGCTAAATCCTGCACATCTCTGGAAACATAAGGGAAAGCACTCTGATCCTAAATATTACAAATGCTTTTTTATGCACACATTACAGGCAGTCCCCGGGTTACATGAGTCCGACTTACATGGGATCCCTACTTACAAACGGGGTGAGGCAACCCCGCACTAGCTGCTTCCCCCCAGCAGACCAGGGAGATGCGGAGCGGCTTTTCTCAGCAGACACCTCAGCTTGAGAATAAAGGACTGAGGGAAGTGAGGTGTGGGAGAATAAAACTGAGCTCTGGAGAAATGTTTGGTTAGAGTTTCCCCTACAATATGTACCAGTTCCGACTTACATACAAATTCAACTTAAGAACAAACCTACGGTCCCTATCTTGTACGTAACCCGGGAGCTGCCTGTATTAACTTTAATACTTCAGCACCAAACAGAGCTGGAAGAAGGCTGCACTAACACAATCCTTTTATTACTTTTCAGTTTTCACTGATTCAAACAGTACTACAAGCAGTACCCCACTTGTCTCAGGTAAGTAACCTACACTGCCTGTGTTCCCTAATTCTTGTCACACTTGAGGCTTAAATGCTGCTACTGATTGCTTTTCTAATCAAGGGCACTCTAACCCTTCTGCTCTCACCCTGACATGCGCCCTACACTGCATGTGGAGGAGTAACTGGCTACAATGTGGCTCATGCTGGGACTGGTCCAGTTCAATATCTTCATCAACGATTTAGATTTGGCATAGGAAGTTTCACTATTAAGTTTGCAGATGATACCAAGTTATGTGGGGTTGCAAGTGCTTTGAAGGATAGGATCAAATTTCAAAATGATCAGGACAAATAGCAGACATAATTCTGACATCCAGTAACAAGAGTGATATATGACATGAAGTGCCAGCAATGCTCCTCTGCCATGTATAATGGCCATACTAGACCGTTTCTATGACAAAGGATTAACGGACACAAGTCAGATATGCGGAATGAAGTTTAAAGAGGACAAATGCAAAGTACTCCACTTAGGAAAGGATAATCAGTTTCACACATACAGAATGGAAACTGACTGTCTAGAAAGGAGTACTGCAGAAAGTGATCTAGGGCTCATAGTGGACCACAAGCTAAATATGAGTTAATAGTGTAATGCTTTTGCAAAAAAAGCCAATATGATTTTAGGCTGCATTAATAGGAGTGTTCTGAGCAAGACATCAGAAGTTATTCTTCTGCTTTACTCTGCCCTGATTAGGCTTCAATTGGAATATTGTGTCCAGTTCTGTACACCACATTTCAATAGAGATGTGGAGAAATTGGAGAAGGTCCAGAGAAGAGCAACAAGAATGATTAAATATGAAGGAAGACTGAAAGAACTGGGCTTGTTTAGTTTATCAAAGAGAAGATTGGCAGAGGACATGATAGCGGTTTTCAAGTACCTAAAAGATCGTTACAAGGAAGGAGAAAAATTGTTCTCCTTCGCATCTGAGGATAGGACGAGAAGCAATGGGCTTCAATTGCAGCAAGAGAGGTTTAGGTTGGACATTAGGAAAGACTTCTTAACTGTCAAGGTGTTTAAACACTGAAATAAATTGCCAGGGGGGAGTTTATGGAATCTCTATCTGTGGAGATATTTAAGAGAAGTTTAGGTTGACATCTATCAGGGAAGGTCTAGACTGTGCTTGGTTCTGCCATGAGGGCAGGGGACTGGACTCGATGACCTCTCGAGGTCTCTTTTAGTTCTAGTGTTCTATGATTCTATGATTCACAAGGTTTTCACTTTGCCTGGGATTCAAAGGTCTCTGAAACTTGCTGTTCATGTAAAATAATGACTATGTAGCACTGTAAAGACTAACAAGATGGTTTATTAGATGATGAGCTTTCGTGGGCCAGACCCACTTCCTCAGATCAAATAGTGGAAGTGAGGAATAAATAAAATGAGGAAGTGGGTCTGGCCCACGAAAGCTCATCATCTAATAAACCATCTTGTTAGTCTTTAAAGTGCTATATAGTCCTGCATTTTGCTTCAGCTACACCAGACTAACACGGCTACATTTCTATTACTATGTAAAATAAGGAGAGAGATTCTCTACAACGCAAACCTGAACATATGTTTAAAGAAGATTTTTTTTATTGCTGTTTTGGGAATATGTAGGTAGGTAGAAAATTGTGCTGAACTCCTTCAAGCTGTTTGCACAAACTTAATTCATTCCCATTGTGCTTATATGTTATGATATAGTCCTTAACTACATGTTCCACTTCATTCTCAAGTTTAACTCTCATGCTCATGATTTAAATCGTGGTATCGGTTGGCTTGCAGATTATCAACCAACCAAACAATGAAGGTGCCAATAGTTCTTGATGTCTGTGTAGAATCTGATGTTAGTGCTCTTCTTTTCCTAGTTCAAACTAATGGTTCTTATCAGCCTCTTTTAGCTAATTAGTCTTTAAGGCTTTGTCTACACTGCAGGGTTTTTGCAGAAGAAGCCTTTTTGTGCAAAAGTTTTTGCACAATAACTTCTTGTGCAAAAGCGTGTCCAGACTTCAAAGTGCATCACAAAAGCAATGTGCTTTTGCACAACAGATCATCCACATTGCATGGACACTCTTGCGCAAGAAAGCTCTGCTTGCCATTCTGCAAATGGCAATCAGAGCACCCGTGCTTTGGCCAATAGGGTTTTCTTGTGTCCACACTTGCCTTTTTGCTCAAGAATTCTTGTACAAAAAGGAGTTATTCCTCGTGGGGAGAGGGATAACTGTACTGGCAAAAGCCCTCTCTTCTGCCAATTTACTTGAGCAAAAGCGTGCTTGAGGTTTGGATGCTCTTCTGGTTTTTGCGCAAAACCAGAAACCTTATAGTGTAGATGTAGCCTAAGATGCTAATAGACCATTTGTTGTTTTTTAAGTTTTTCCTGTTACAGACTGACTGAGCTAACCCTTTGAAACTTATTTACCTAATGTCCTCTTGCTTCCTTCCCCCAATTTTTTTCCTTCCTTATTTATTCATGGTTCTGGATCTCCAACACTCCAGTCATCTGAAGAAGTAGATTCTGCCCACGAAAGCTCATGATACCATCTATATGTTTTGTTAGTCTTTAAAGTGCTACCAGACTATTTGTTGTTTTTTAAGTTTTTCATGCTTGCACACTATTTTTCCTCACTGATCTCTGCCTCATTGGTGGCACAGGATGGATATTGCTCAATTGATGAACAAGTTTTTCAGTATTTTCTTTTATCTTTCTTGATCAATGTATGGCCCCATACCATATTTACTGTACATTATTGAAACCATGCTCAGCAGACAGAATTATTAATTTTCTCATGAGCTTTTCTCTGGCAATTATTATAGTAACTAAGGCCTTCACAAAAAATTATTCATTTCTTTACAACTGTTCTGGGAGATAAAGGGGCATTATTATTCTGATTATACAGAAAAGGAATTGAGGCACAGAAAAGATTAATTAAACATATCCACTAATTTTGGTACCCAATTTGTTGAGCTGTCTGGGATATGATTTTTCAGAGTACTTAACATTTGTGTAGTACTTCAGATGTTCTCAGCTCAGCTCCCATAGAGTTCAGTTGCAGCTGTGAGCATTCAACACTTCTGCAAATCAGAAGTTGAACAGGCAATACATGAATAACACACAATTAGTGACCACCTGTAAAAAGTTTGGTTTAATTGACTTACCTGCCATTCCACAGGAACTCTGTGGCAGAGGCAAGGATAGAATCCAGTTTCCAGAGCAACATTCAGCTGTCTTAAGCATGACAACATTCTTTCTCTTCCTGCAAACGCTTGCCTTATTAACTACTCAACTTCCAACTTCTGCCACAAATGAAGCAGGGGTCCTGTGAACAATTTCCTCCACTACACAACGCTGATTTGGCCTTAGCACAAATACAGCATATGCACTGAATGGTGCAGGAGCTGTGTGAAAAAAATACTATGTGACCATGCAATTAAGGACTGTGATAATGCACATGCATGAGGGGGGAGGGCTGAATTAAGTTTGCATCGTCAAGCTTAATTTTGGCATTTCCTAGCTTTTGAAGGTTTTGTTTTGCAATCCCAACAATGTTCTTTTAATGGATGGTTTTTCTATTGCAATTTCCTAGGGTTGGGGTTTTTTAAAGCAAAATTAAAATACAAATTCCATCATTACTAGAATCTATGAGAGGATGGGCTATGCTTCATAGAGTGCAGAAGAAAAAAATAAAATTAAAGCATTTGAATGTTCTTTCTTTCAGCTGCTTCAACTGCACCCTTGGAATCAAGTTCCCAGATCAAATCTTTACAACCATCAGAAATGGTCACTGCATCATCACCATCAATAACAGAAGCAAGTGACAAAATTAGTAACAGTAAGTGAAAACATTTGCTGACCAACTGGTGAACCCACTGGGGCCTGCATTTCTGAAAAATAATGTGGAACAGTATTGACAGCACAAACAACGCAGGTCTGGTGGCAGAATTAGGGGTCTGAGAGCCATTGTTCTCATAGCCAGGGGCGGATACAGGGCAGGGCGAACGGGGTGGCTGCCCCGGGCCCCGTGCTTCAGAAAGCCCCGTGCATGCGCCGTGGCACCGCCGCGCATGCGCATGGCGTCACTGTGCATGCGCAGTGGCAAAGGGGGGGCCCCGGGGAATTATGCTGCCCGGGGCCCCGCAAAACAGTCATCTGCCCCTGCTCTTAGCTACTATGTGTACATCTCAGATATGTCATTCCTCAGCAAAATACAATAAACCTCTCCATAATGAAGTCTTATGCCAGTGGCTCAGACACTAAAATATTTCATTTGTATTAGAGAGGTGACTTTGAACCAATGCACTGGATTAGAACATTATAATTTGAGATGTGGGATGGTAAAGTATTTGGTTTGTTTTCTGAAACAAAATGGATAGGCAAAACATGACTATTTAAGATCCAGAATAGCATTCCCATACATAAATGATAAAACCCAAGTGATAGTACTGGCTCAAAACAGATGTGTCTGGCATTTATTAAGGAGTTGTGAGACGAAAATGGAGGCAGGGTTCTGCAAAGCCACTTCTGGCCATGAGTGGGAGCTGAGTAGGCTGCTGATCCTGTTACAAAAGTGGGACTAGAATACAGTTCCCTCTCCCACCACAGGGTTGACCATGAAAAAGTAGTTAATTCAGTACAAACTTTTGTTCCTAAGGTAAATAGATGTCACTCTGAGCAGATCTATTGAACAATAAGGTGTCATTTTCACACTGTGGCCACATTTTAGCAAAACCCTCAAGAATGCACTTTTTTATATATGGTTAGGTGCCTTACCAAATAAGAAAGGGCTTTATCACTTATCTTAAATTGAACACTTGCTTAAGTGCCTTGTTGAATTGGACCTTTTAAAATACTATTTTAAAAGTCACTATAGCATTACAGACCTTAAAGATAGAAATATTTATTTGGTCTTGTATCCCAGTACCCTATAATTCATAATGGCTGTGTCTAGACTGGCAAGTTTTTTGCAAAAGCACTTGCTTTTGTGGAAAAACTTGCCAACTGTCTACACTGGCTGCTTGAATTTCCTCAAGAACACTGACTTCCTACTGTCTGAAATCAGTGCTTCTTGCGGGAATACCATGCTGCTCCCATTCGGGCAAAAGTCCCTTTGCACAAAGCTTTTGCGCAAAAGGGCCAGTGTAGACAGCTCAGATTTGTTTTGCACAAAAAAACCCCGATCGTGAAAATGGCGATCGGGGCTTTTTTGCGCAAAAGCGCGTCTAGATTGGCCACGGATGCTTTTCCGCAAAAAGCGTTTTTGCGGAAAAGCGTCCATGCCAATCTAGACGCTCTTTTCCACAAATACTTTTAACCCAAAACTTTTCCATTAAAAGCATTGCGGAAAATCATGCCAGTCTAGACGTAGCCAATGTCTTCCCAACATATTCTCCAAAATGTCACCCACTATAGTTTTAAAATGGCACAAGTCAAAGGGGCTTTTTTTCTTTCTTTCTGTGAGTCTCTGTTCTATTGTCTTTAACTGCTTCAATGTGAGTACAGGATCATTTATGCTAGGGAAAAGTAAACGTTTCCAAACTATTACTTCCACACTTTTGGGTCTGAAAATTAGTCCTCTCCTTGTCAGTTACATCTTCAAATTCTATACAGATCAGAATCCAGGCTTTTCCTTTGTATTAAATAGCCTAATGTGTTTGGCTCGCCTGTATTTTGACCAGTCCTAGAAGTGCTGCTATTGCAGAAAGCATGGGTGAACATCAGGCTAGAAAATACCCCCAATGCAAAAACTACTGAAGCGTGTGAGGCAGTGTCAGAAGCCTAAGCAAAAATCACTAGTATGGCCCCTGGTCCTTTCTGTTTGATAGAGGTCCCTGACTCAAGGGTATCAATGCAGCATGGCCAGCTGGAACTAAACCATACTGATAGGTAGGCCACTGGCCTGTGAGGAAATGCTGATGAGGTAGGGCATGCTTGTCTGTGCAGCTTAGTTCCAGGTGGTGGTCAGGACTGATATCCAGGAGGAGGCCAGGCTTGGGAATCTCTTCAATATTTTGAAGCAGTGGAGGCAGAATAAAGGCGGGGAAGTCTGGTACGTGGTGTATTCCACAAGCAAAACAGACATCTAAATATAATGATGTGTCTCAACAAGAAAAGGCTCCAAGATACAGGGCCCCAAAATATGTGGGTATTTGAATTGAAATGGGTGCTGAAATTTTAATTCAGGACTATTTCAATTCAGGAACACCCAAAACACCCTCAGTCTGTATCCAGCTTAATGGATAGTCCTTACTATATAGAATCACCTTACTTATTAAAGCCCTGTCACTTGGAGCAAGAAATGCAAACATTCAGTTTGACCAATTGATTCCCATTTATAAACTACTTCCAAAGAAGCAAATGTTTCCTGGTCACATCTGCGGTCCTTACCCAACCTTTGTGCTTCAAATCAATGGGAGCTTTGATTAAGGACTCTGGGATTTAGCCCCATACATCAAAGTAGGGTCATTTCAATGTTCATTTACTAATATGGTTTTGATTTGAAACTGCATGAAGGGTGGCCTTTCTTGCATGCCCACTCTAGCAAGCTTTTTTCCATCCTTTCCCCTTCCCTTCACTGCATATGCAAATTAATAAGACCATATATAGCTGTCTCTGGGAGGCAAAGCTAATGCTGGATTTAATAAACAACCAACAATCTTTTTTTCTATCCCAAAATACCATTTCATCAAAGCCAGAATGTTTTGTGGAAAGGTAACAGTTTTGACAAAAAATATTGTTGGGACAGTTTCTCTAATCCAGGATGGGATTTCTGATGAGTGTGATCCTGCACAATAGCAAGGCTGGTTGGTCATTTACCTGGGATGGGGGAGATACAGTTGAAAGTCCCTATTCTGCCTGATTCAGAACAAGAATCTGAAAGTAGGTTTCCTGCATCCCATGTGTTCAGTTGGTTCTTCCATGAACAGTTGTTCTGGCTTTAATGCAGAATGAAAACCAATTTTGAAATCTTAGAATTTTTCATGAAAGGGGATTGTTGTTTTATGGCCAGCTCTAGACAAGAGAGAAAATGCAGCAGTGCCCCATGGCCTTGTGGGGGTATGGTCAGCTAGCCTGGGAGCCTGGACAGGCTCCTTGATCCTTTATACAGACAGGCAGCTGGCCATGCTCCCAAGCTAGTTTGTAGCATCTCTTGGGCCCATGAAGCACTGTTGGCTCCATTGCCTGATCCAATACATCTACATTCCACCTTCATTCCACCTACATTCCATTGGCACACTAGAGGGATCTGTGGGGGGAAGCTTCCTGCACCCTTGTTTCCCTCTGTGACAAGCACACCAGACAGACCAGAATTCTGCCCTTATAATGCAGAATAGTCTATTGGTATATTGGCCACTACCTTTATTTTTTTACCTTTCTTCATTCCTTCCCTCTCCTCCTGTTCCACACACACCTGTCACAGAGGACAAGCGACAATAATTAAGATGCCTTTATGATATTTTAAATTTCACCTTAAAACCACCATGTGGGCTCGCTAACAAAAACAAAACATTCTGCAAAAGAAGGCCTTTTAACTGGGGAAATTATATTCCACGCCCCAGCCCCTAGTGAAAGCTTCAGAAGATAATCCCATCCACACAGCAGAGATTTGACAGCTCTTTCAATCTCTGCTACTATTTCTGTTGCTGCTGTCACCTTATGTTAAAGATTTGGGAAAAGACCTCACAAAATCTGTGCACTTTATGAAAGAATGTGATAACCTCTTTTCTCTGTCTCTTATATTTCTTCCCCTCCACGGGCATTCTTTCCCGCTGCCTCTGTCAAGTCACTTCACTGCTGTGTGCCTCAGACTCCCCATCTGTAAAATGGGGATAATGATGCAGACTTCCTTTGTAAAGCTGCTAATAAAGGCTGTGTTTTAGTCACATCTACAATCAGCTGCCATGTGCTATTGACTATAGGTGCAAAATTAAGAGGCCTGAGTGAATTCTCTTTTAAAATTTGGTCTTGTGCATCTGTGTGTGTACAGTGTAAGCTTCACAGAAATGACTTCTTTTTCCACTTAAAAATCTCTGACTGGAAATAACTTTTGACTGGAAACACTGTTTGGCATAAAAGATGCTTAACCAAAGTAGCTTCAATTTTTAAAGCATATCTGTGATATACTGAGCTGATTGACTACATATATATATATATTACACTCAAGTAATTTTGGTTTTGACATTCACAATCATTTTTTGGCTTATTTGATGTGGTTCTAATATTAAAACTAGTTAGCTAGCAGCCTGCTGGGAGGGACATTAAGAACAGTATATGGAAAAAGTGAAATGTATGTAGAGTGTATATAAGGTAAGTGGCAATTCAACCTGAGATCAAGAGAGGATGTATGTTAAATTTTAGTTCATTAGAAGAAAATTAAGGGCAACTAGTAGGCAAAATCTGATGCTCAGACAGCAGCTTTACAGAAAAGCTCGTGTTCCCCTTTGCTTTACTGCTGATTATTCCTTTGACAAATTTGTGTTGAGAACAGTGATTAACACACTGTCATTTATCTTACCAAATACCAGCAGAGAAAACTGAATCACTTCCAGGGAGTACTGTGACAGCCTTCAACAGCACTTGGACGATGACTGGTAAGGCATCCCTTTAAAATCTTATTTATAATCAGCCATTGACAACAGACCCATTACACGACGATGTGACTGGTTTACAACAGCAGCCTGCTTTCTCTGCTGTGCTGCTTTGCTGTGAATTCAGCCTCCTCCTGTTAAGCATACAGAAATCTTTTCTGCAGCTGGTGGAATAGCAACATGATGAATTACTGCAGTGATGTGTCAGTGGGAAGGGCAGATCTGGATCACTGCGTGCCCAAGAGGAAACAGCAGGGGATTCTATTACAGAACACGAGCATTGTAATAAGCGGGGAACTCGGAGTTATACTGTCTCCTTTTACTTCCTACATCAAATTAAGCCTCTCGTAGAACTGAGTTATGAGGATTTTATCAAAACCCAAATCTCTAGCAGCCATGCTGCGCTGCGTGCAGCTCTTCCGCTTATAAGCACTGGCGGTGTTTGACTGAGTCCACCTCTTTCGGAGATTGGCACTAGCACTACTCCATCAACTTAGGAGCTCCCAATACTGTGTATTGCACACAAGTCTTAGATACCACTGAGGGCCCCAAATCAGTTGCTGAGATTTAACTATAAAGAAAATTACAAATAGAGAAATCAGTTCATTAGGTTGTCTTCTTAGGCTCACTTTACATCCAGTGTAGAAGGTTTGTGCATAACTTCAGCCTTTTAAGGCATAAGGGCATGATTCAAAGCTGATTGAAGTTAATGGGATTCTTTCTCAAGCACTGTCAAGTTTTACATGAGACAAAAGTACTGTCTGACCTGAGCCACTAGTCAAAAATGTAGGGTCCAATACATCATTCTAATTCAGAGGAAAAATTGATGACACTGAGGCCTACATTAGAAACTTACATTGGCATAGCTACCTCTCTCCAAGGTGTGAAAAATCTATGCCACCGAAAGACACATCTATACCAATCTCACCTCTAGTGCAGACAGTGCTAGGTTGACATAAGAATTCTTCTGTTGTCTAAGCTACTACCACTTGGGAAAGCTACTACCACTCACCCCTCCTGTTGGCATAGGTACTATACACTCAAGTGCTACAGTAGTGCAGCTGCAGAATTTTAAATGTAGACATACCCTCAGGCATTTCCTTGTTGCAGTTTCATTTACAAAGAATATACAAAGGCCTGTCTCTCTGAATGCAGTAGGAATCAAAGTAACAAGAAATAATTTCTATTGCTCACTGGCCCAAACTTCTGTTCAGCGAGCACCCCTGACCCAAATAACCTCTCCCTGAATTGCTTACAAGGCTCGATTCCATGCTTTCAGCTGCACCTACAGTGACTTTCACTTTCTGCCCCTGAATGTCTGTCTGTCTGCCTCTCTCTCTGCGTTCCAACTTTCCCCTTGACCCAACTCATGCACTTCCCCTGACAGTTCTCTGCAAAACACCTCTGCCCATTCATCCCTAAATTCCAGGGCAGGATGCAAACCACTTTTGTCTCTGGTGGAGAGCTTGTGATTAACTTGTCCTGACAGTAATGATAATTGCTGGGTGTGTTTCCACCCATTTTCAATGAGATTTTAACTCTTCTTCACCCAGCTCATAACACTGGAATCATAGAATCATATAACCATAGAGCTAGAAGACACCTGAGAAGGCCATCAAGTCCAGGCCCTTGCCCAAGGCAGGACCAATCCCAATTATATCAACACAGCCAGAGCTTTGTCAAGCCGAGACTTAAACACCTCTAGTAATGGAGACTCCACTACTAGGTAACCCGGTCCAGTGCTTCACCACCCTCCTAGTGAAATAGTTTTTCCTAATATCCAACCATTTCCTAATAAACATTGTTCCTTGTTCTGCCATCCATCACTACTGTGAAAAGCCTTTCTCCAGCCTCTTTGGAACTTCCCTTCAGGAAGTTGAAGGCTGATATCAAATCCCCCCTCACTCTTCTCTTCTGCAGATTAAATAGATCCACTTCCCTCATCCTCTCCTCATAGGTCCTGTGCTCCAGCCCCCTAATTATTTTGGTTGCCCTCCACTGGATCCTCTCCAATGCATCCACATCCTTCGTGTAATTGGGGGCCCAGAACTGGACACAATACTCTAGATGTGGCCTTATCAGAGTCAAGTAAAGAGGAATAATCACATCTCTGGATCAACTGGCAATGCTTCTCTTTTTGCAACCTAATATGCCATTAGCCTTCTTGGCTACAAGGGCACACTGTTGACTCATATCCAGCTTCTCATCCACTCTAATCCCCAGGTCCTTTTCTACAGAACTGCTACTTAGCCAGTTGGTCCCCAGCCTATGACAATGCTTGGGATTCTTCCGTCCCAAGTGCAGGACTCTACACTTGTCCTCATCAGATTTCTTGTGGCCCAATCCTCCAATTTGTTTAAGTCACTCTGGACTGTATCCCTGCCCTTCAGTGTATCTACCTCTCCCCCTAGCTTAGTGTCATCCGCAAACTTGCTGAGGGTGCAATCCGTCCCCGCATGCAGGTCATTAATAAAGATGTTGAACAAAACCAGTCCCAAAACCGAACCTTGGGAGCCGTTGATCACTACCCGCTGGGCCCAACCTTCCAGCCAGCTTTCTATCCACCTTACCATCCATTTATCCAATCCACTTTATTCCCTTTAACTTGCTGGCCAGAATATTGTGGGAGACCGTATCAAAAGCTTTGCAAAAGTCAAGGTATATCACATCCACTGACTTCCCCACATCCACAGAATCAGTTACCTCATCATAGAAGCTAATCAGATTGATCAGGCATGACTTGCCCTTCATGAATCCATGCTGACTATTCTGGATCACCTTCCCCTCTTCCAAGTGCTTCAAAATGGATTCCTTGAGAATCCCCTCCATGATTTTTCTAGAGACTAAGGTAAGACTGACCAGCCTATAGTTCCCTGGATTGCCCTTCTTTCTTAAAGATGGGCACTACATTTGCCTTTTTCCAATCATCCGGGATTTCTCCTGATCTCCATGACTTTTCAAAGATAATAACCAAAGGCTCCTCCATGACATTTGCCAACTCCCTCAGTACCTTGGGATGTTTTAAGTCTGGACCCATGGATTTATGTATGTTTAACTTTTCTAAATAGTTCCTGACCTGTTCTTTCCCCACCAAGTGCTGTCCACCTTCGTCCCATATTGCATCACTTTAGCGCATTAGTCTGGGAGCTGACCTTGTCCATGAAGACAGAGGCA